TGTGACGAGAGTCTTGTACTGACATTGTACGTTTCTAAACGTTACATCACTTCAGTAACTATTTAAAGTTGTGTAATACATTTCAATAGAAAACAAGAACAAAAGAGACAAAATAAAATCAATTGGTGGCACAAACTTGTCAAAGAAAGAAAGGGGACCGGGGGAGAGTCACCGGCCTAGCCAGACCCAAGCCCTAAATTCAAAGAACGTCAACGGGAATAGAGATGCAAAGAACTGCGTATGCACATCTCCAAATGGCACAAAAATCAGGTACATGAACTCTCACCCTATCTTTTTTTTTATCTAATAAATTCCAATTTGTTAGTTTCATGAATCACAACTCTTGGCCAATATAATTGTCACGCCTAGGAGATAAAGTAATTAAGATTTTTGCCCATTAATGACACGTCCGCATTAGGTACCAATACCTTGAATGTACATGAGTTTGTTGGGTGCTTGTCATCTTCTTATCTCATCCTTGCAAATTCTGTAAAATTATTGATCTTTTTATTGCAGTTTCCCCCTTAGGTCTTAGCATCTACTCGTTTGGACTTAATTAGTTTGGATTTATGTGTACGTTCATACGCAGGGCGAAGTGTTTTAAAAAATATACAAGAACCACTAATGTTACACTTTTTGTCGTTTAACAAGAGAATAAGTAAAGCTCAATACCTTTTTCTAATTATTTTTTCTTACAAAAAAATTGGGGAAGAGAGAGAAATCTTGAAGAATGATCAAGGAATTATTGGTGTTGGTAGCTTATTGTCAATGTTTCATTTGTGTTCCATAATGTGAAGCAAAATGCGTGAGTGCACCCAAAACTTCAAGAGCATAGAGCAGAGAGACAATTCTCTGTCCCTGTTTTCTGTTTCTTTTGTCTCTGAACAAAAAGTTTCCCCATCCCTTATTGTTATGTTATTATTTAATTGCTCATAGAACCACTTATTCTGAATCCTACTAGATCACTACGAGAACATTTGCTATAAAAGAAGGAAAAGTTTCAAACAAGGTGGTAACTTTTCAGTTTTCACAACCTGTAAAAAAATGTTTTGTCTTAAATTTGAAGGACACTAACATCTCCTGACGGTTATTCACAGGACAGAAACTAAAACAAGATTTCTACTCCTTTTCTTCTAATATCATGGTGTGATATGATATTATTTTAGACCAAAAGAGAACACAAACAAAGGAGATCTATAAAAAAATATAATAATAATAAAAATAAATACATTCCATTAGTAGAAACTAGAAAGAGACACCATTATTGTTAAACATCACAACTAAAAAAAAGTGAGCACCACTTGTTAGTCCCATATTGCGGGACTTATATTTTATTATAGGCACCACTAATACCTTATAAATGTTATAGGGCACCGGTGGTGTTAAGCACTACTATTTAAAAGAAGGTGGATCCTGCAACGTGGAATTCACGTGTGAAACCCATCTTTTATTAGATGATAGTGCTTAACACCCCGATAGTGCTCTTTACCATCTTTCTTGTTTTTAACAGTAGAGGTTTGTTTTGTATACCTCTTATTATTATTATTTTAACATGATTAATTTTGAAAACGTTTAAAGCACTATTGAATTCATATGATAAAAAGTGGCCTCTATATATATACATAAATTTATTTCACAGAAAAGTGAAAAGCAATTTTGTGTGTGTGTGGTTTTTTAACTCTAATGGATGAGAAAAGAAAGGCCTTATGATTTGCATGCATGGTTGGTCTTGAACTGTCACTAACGTGTGGGAGATCTCAAGGTTCACTTCACTGCAAATAAACACACACACACTATTGAGTAGTACTTGTGATTAGGAGCAAAGCACTTGACCCTTAATTTCACTCATATGGTTGGTCTTGAACTGTCACATATGTGGCATTTGTATCCAGGTACGCTGCAACAAGCACCTGGACTCCTAGTACTTGTACAACCCAATTTTGTTTCTCTTTCTCTCTCTTAACACTCATAATTTTCCAAGACACCAAAAAAAATTAATTATTAATCAATTAAAGAAGCAATTGGACCTTCCAAGGGAAGCAATTAATTTACAAAAGCTACATCCATATATCCATATAATTTATTTTTTTTTTTGCTGATTATGCATGTAAATATATCATAGTTACTAAAAATGTGCTACATGTTTAGTATTTAAATGCTCTCTAGCTAGCAAAGTGATTAATATAATACGTACTTGGCAATTAAAAAGTGCCACACGCCGACAAATCAGAAAGTGGCCGGTATTTGGAGATTCTTAATATTTAACTTAATAAACCGACCTTTTTTCCCATTGGGTAGTCTCAAACATAAGATATGTATTTCTTTAAAGTAAGGAGACTTGTATTAATAATGGATTATTCTTATGAGAATATATAATACTATAACGTATGACGTTACAATATAATTAATTAGGGTATTACATATGCTATTATAATAGTGAAGATATATCTCAAGTAACCCTTTTATTTATTTGTCATAAGACAGTTCAGTGTTATAGCCAAACAGTTGAGATTCTTTGGGGCCGACTTTTCTAGGGATTTGGAGAATGACAGCCAACTTACAGAACGTAAATAGTCGGCGCGCGCTATAATATTCTCATATTTTTGGATAATTAAATTTCAATTGTATCAAATGGATCACATATTGATTAATCATTGGTATTTCCTTCATATTTTGTGTGTGAATTTGAAGTTAAGCCGAATATACAAATTCAGTTTTCAAATTCTAAAATATAAAATTAACAAATAATCTATATTTGGCATGTGTACTTAAATCATTGGAACAACCTCTTCATAGATAGATATCAATAAACTTTGTCATAACCTTGTCATCCACTATGTAAGATGATATACAAAATTACCCTAAAAATCATATAAAAATAATGTGAAACAGTATAATATCCAAACCAGCAAGCATATACATCCAAAGTAAGTTGTATTATATTATCGCATGAGAAATAGACTAATAAATATTAAAGGAGGAAAAGGAAATATATAGGGGTAAAAAGATGAGATTCACGTCCATTCTAAGTAATGTATATATAAACACAATTAAAATCCTAAGCCCGTTTGAGAACAAATCTTTGGTGAGAAAGATAAGCGTAATTTGATTGGATTTGGATATATATATATATGTAGGCATACAAGCGTACGTGCATATCTGCCAAATATATATGTATGGAAATTGTGTAAATCAAGGCCGGCACCTGTGGATTCTGCCGAGTATACTCAGATTTTGAGAGATTTGAAGAAAATATTTCAGGGAGATTCTTGGTAATCTTAGTGTTCGTTTGATTCGTGTATTCAGAATCATGATTCAGAACTATTCTCATTTTACGTGTATTTTTTGTGAGAGAAAACACTGTAGAGAATCATGAATCATGATTCAGAATCAATGATGAATACAGAAAACAAACGGGCTCTTAGTAATCCCAAGTTGGCATGGCAAGATCTAAACTGCCAATTAAAGCCTCCATTTTCTATTATAAGTAGTCAATTTTGTTACGCTTGGCCACATATCTTCCGAGTCAACAACGAAGAACTCTAGGACGCCACGTGGCTTTAAACGCAAATTATGTGTTGCTCAGCATGTCAAGATCTTATTGGCTAAAAGAAAATATAATGTTTTTTTGCTAGCATTTCTTACAAAGAAAGTCATATCCTCCTTGAATAATACCAAGTCGTTATCCAACTTGTTGCTTCAAATACCTTACTTTATTTTCATGGGCTAGCTTGTATTTGATCCGAGGACTGAGAGCTTCTTGAGTTGTTTCTCTTCTCTATTCGGTCTTATTTAAGGCTACTTAAATATATATTTATTTACTATAAATTCATAATAAGAGATAAAAATTCCTTAACATACGTCTATAATCACTAGGTCGAATGACATAAAAGTAGAAAAAGAGAGCGCATATATTCGAAATTATTGTACATGAAAGTACTAAATTATCATTAGACATTTATGTTGTCTTTAAGTTAGTCTGATGTCAAATAACTTGATACTTTTCTTCTTGTCTTTTGGCTCATAACTAAGGGGAAATATGTAAAAAAGAAAGAAAGAAAGACTTGCACTATAATTTATTATTTTATTTCTATCAATTTGATTGAATAAGAATATCAAACTTTAACGATACAATTCATCTAAGCTCTTTTAGTTAAAAGTTGTGCATTAAACTAATTGTATGTCAACATCTTTACAATAGACATGGAAATTCATGTTTAAATAAATGATTATTTTGATTAATTCAACATCATGATACAGAGATATGGAACACACATGTGGAGAAATTGATGAGCCAAGAACTTAAGATTCTTTGAATTACTGGTCTATTCAGTAATCTCTCCTCTACACACACATTATGTGTATATGTATGTATGTATATATATATATATGTGTGTGTGTGTATCACCTTTTTCTTCTTCTTCTTCGTTTATTTATTTTTTCTTTGTGATGAGGTATGCATGCATCACTCAGTTTCAGTAACTTACCCCTCCAAGAATACGGAAGAATAATAAGAGAAGAGTAAGCGATGAGATCACACCAAACTCCAAAGAGATGGAGAATTGAAAATGTATAGTTTTGGGATCAACACAATCAATCGCTAATGTTAAAGCCAAATTACCTGTTCTTTTTCCCTCCAAGTAAATTACGGGGGATATGCATGTTTTCTATCATCGAATAAATAAATAAATATATATATATATATATAAGAGAGAAAATTTGGATTTCAATCATTATTATAGATCAAACAAATGCATCTCAGATAGACATCCACAATGTCCACATAATCTCCAAAAACACACAATAAATAAATAAATAAATAAAAAAGGGTCCCCCCAATAAAACAAAACCCCATGACGTTGAAATCACTAAATTAAAGAAAGAGGCTAATATTAGCAGGAATCCACCTAATAAGCAGCAAAGTGCATGAACCCAAACCCAACTCGCTCCCCTATATATACCTCTCCCTCTCTACTCCCTACTCCCCACACTCTCTCTTTCTCACTCTTTCTCCCTCCAAAATCATATCAACCCATTTGGAGACAAAGAGAAAGAGTCACTACTACTGCTACTAACTTCATTAGAAAGTGATCAGATTGCACAAAAACTCAACACCACACATCAGAAAAAAGATGCCTTGTTCGCCGGTTATTAGCGTTGTCTCCAAATCAACGGTTTTCCCCGACAGGAAATCGACCCTCGGAGACCTCAAACTCTCCGTGTCCGACCTCCCCATGTTGTCTTGCCAATACATCCAAAAAGGCAGCCTCTTCACTCGCCCACTGCAAATCCCAAACGACTCCCTAATCTCTCTCCTAAAGCAAGGCCTTTCCCGTACTCTCTCTCTCTTCCCTCCGCTCGCCGGTCGCCTCACCACCGATGGATATGGACACGTGTTCCTCACGTGCAACGACGCCGGCGCCGACTTCATCCACGCCAATGCCGCGGATGTCTTCATCCGCGACATCCTGGGACCCACCCACGTGCCGGAGCACGTGTGGGACTTTTTCGCCTGCGACGGGACGGTGAGCTACGCGGGCCATTTCAGGCCCATCCTGGCCGTGCAGGTAACGGAGTTAGCCGACGGCGTCTTCATTGGCTGCGCCGTTAATCACGCCGTTACTGACGGAACTTCCTTCTGGAACTTCTTCAATACTTTCGCCGAGGCCTGTCGGGGTGTGAAGAGGATTTCTCGGCCCAGCCCGGATTTCAGCCGCGACTCTATCCTGATCTCGAAGGCCGTACTGAAACTGCCTGAAGGTGGGCCCAAAGTCACGTTTTCCAACGACGCGTCGTTGAGGGAGAGAATATTCAGTTTCAGCAGGGAAGCAATTCTGATACTGAAGGACAGGACAAATAACCGAACGGCACTGATCGAAAACGACATCGAGATTCTGGGGAAGCAAAAAAACGACACGTACTCGCAAAGCGACAACAACAAGGTGGCGTCCATAATCGAGAACTGGCTGAAAAACGGCGTCATTTCAAAACAAAACGCAGCAGTAGCGGAAATCTCGTCGTTTCAATCTCTCTGCGCGCTGCTGTGGCGGGCGGTTACACGCGCGAGGAAGCTTCCTTCCTCCAAAACGACGACATTTAGAATGGCGGTTAACTGTCGTCACAGGCTGGAGCCGAAGCTCGATCCGCACTACTTCGGGAACGCGATCCAGAGCGTGCCGACGTGCGCGTCGGCGGGGGAAGTCTTATCTCGGGATCTGCGCTGGTGCGCGGAACAGCTCAACGAGAGCGTGAGGGCGCACGATAACGCTAACGTGCACCTCTTCGTGAAGGATTGGGAGAGCAACCCGAGGTGCTTTCCGCTGGGTAATCCCAACGGCGCGTCAATCACGATGGGAAGCTCGCCGAGGTTTCCGATGTACGACAACGATTTCGGTTGGGGACGGCCGTTGGCGGTCCGGAGCGGGAGGGCGAACAAGTTCGACGGCAAGATCTCGGCGTTCCCGGGGAGGGACGGAAACGGGACGGTCGATCTCGAGGTGGTTTTGTCGCCGGAGACGATGGCGGCGTTGGAGAACGATTCGGAGTTCATGCATTACGTATCAAGCGTATTCTGATGAGTTTCGTGGACGAAGAGGGTAGTGATTGGGTACGGTAAGGTGTAGTGGTTGATGTGGTGATCTGGGTTGTGATATTATGACCGTTCTATTTTGTACTTTGTGGGGGGTTTTCAGTGGATATTAGATTTTAAATAATAAATGGGTTGAACTTTGAAGTTTGAACGGTGTTGATTTGGTCCGGAAGGGTGGGGCATGTTTCTGCTTTTTGTGACATGTATGTTTTGTATTTTGAGTTATATGTATGATGTATCTAATATTCCTTTTGGCTTTCTTAATCATTTAAGTTAATGTGTTCTATTGACTAAAATATAGTTGGTAATTTTTGTTTTTAGGAAAGATGAGGCATGCACAAATAAAGAAAGGGGAAAATTATGGGAATATATCTTTGAACTGGAAGGGAAAAAAAATTTGGATTAAATAGCAGGATATTATTTCCCATTCCTTACCCACCCAAAATTATGCATTTTCACACTTTCGTATGTTTCACGGGTATAAACTACAATTCCAACATTTGCTAAGATTTTTCTCTTATAAAAATTTTAAATTTCTAATTAAACCTATAAACTAAACTGGTCGTTAATTTTTCAATGTCCCAGTCAATGTTTGTGTCAAAATGATTTACTTTTGGTAGGATGAGAAAAAGAAGAGATGGAAAGGGATAGTGAAATTAGTAGAGGGACCTTAGGACTTGTGGTTAGGGGTGTTCATAAGTTGGATTTTATGGGTTAGAGGTTGATCTGTAATTCAATTCAAAATCATCAGATTGAAGAAATTCAACCCAATCCAATCTAAAACTAGGATTTTGCGGATTTTATAGATTTGAATTAAGATTGAATTATGAATAATGATGCTAACCTCTAAGATTCTCAAGTGGGTTGCGTTGTTTCAAAAAAAAGGACAAATAAATAGACTGGCACATGTTATTGTTAGTACCGGGATTGGAAAAAAAAAATGCATATATATAAATATATATTACTAAGAACTTAATCAAAACTATATAATTTATATTTTTATACTGTAATATATAGATAATTTGGATTCACGGATTTCACTAGTCGAAAAATGCTCAATTCAAAATCTTGAATTAGAATTTTTCAATCGGTTATCAATCTAAAATGCATCTCGATCCAATCTAATTTAGTGCATTTGTTTAGATTGAGAAGGTTGATCACGTTCATTAATTTAGTGAACACCATTACTTATCGCGTTCATGGATTAGCTGAGTGATTTTAAATTCTTCAAAAAACCTCGATTTTAATCTCCCTAGACACAAAAAGATTAAAGTAAATCTACAGTCCATCTCTATATCCAACAAAATACGATAAAGGTTCTCTTTTTCTGTATTTTTCTCACATATATTTCATATGTCTTTCCTGTTAGGAAACGTGAGTTTCCTATATTATGGGCCACATATTTATTTAATAATTATATTAAGTTATTTAATTATTTGGGCTAATTTAAGTGATCTAATTATGGAAAGCCCAACTAGTTTCCTAACAGGGTATGAGTTGAATGGGTGGATACCCATATTGACCCAATTAGGTTTAATGGGAGCCTAATGGGGCAGTATATAAAGAAACTAAGATTATGGTCCTCAATATGTCAAATCATAAGACAGTTTTCATTCTTCTCCATCTAGAGAGAAAACACTCATTAAGGAACTAAGGAGATTTGACTGAACAAGACAATAACCGTCGTGTTCGTTATCTTAGAGAATTCTATCGGAGATCTAAAGGCTGCATCAATGAAAACAGGTCAGAGTTCTAACTTATTTTCTTAATAATTTGGTGTGATGATTCCTGGAATGTGAAATAAGGATTTAAAGATCCAACATTTCCTTCCCAATTTTTTCCATCTTACCAAGCATAGTTTATATGAAGTACGATCATTCGTCCATTGTTCAAGTCAAGTATATTATGTCAAAACTTATCTAGAATGCGAGCTTCAGAGTGATATCCATCTTTATTTTTTTTTTCTCCCTTTTGGTGGAAAAAGCTTTCATTAAGCAAAAAAACTGAGGACAGCCCATACAAATGAATGGCCTCAGAACTAGTGAAAGGAAAAACACATTAAGCAACTACACTGTATGAACAATAGAGTGGGCAACTACAGTGTTTGATATCCATACTCTTCTATTACACACAAACTTTTCAAAATTATATGAATCTTATTATATATGGCATTGGAACGCCAGTGGTATCGAGAAACATATGGTTAATTATTCCACCACCCCAGCCTGTTTTTCAGATTCGTTCCCTAGAAATAACAAATAATGAATGGATAACCAAGAGCTTGAAGGTAGGGGTCAATGGTGATGGGTACGTATGAATGGATAACCCAAATTGGAGCCAAATTGACATTTTAGTACTATTTTACAAATACCAAGTTGACATTTTTTAACAATAAAGAAAACGAAACATAGTCCAATTTTCCACATCCATGGTACTTGTTTTGCCCATACCTTTCCATGAGGGGTCGCCTTCGCCAATATCGGTCTTAGCATCCTCTGTCTATGGGTAAGGCATACGCATAGCATCTGGCTTTTGTTATTATCACCGATCAATAATTGGCGACGTCATAAAAAAATAACTATAAAAAAAAACCTAAAGTGAAGAAATTTGTACTCAACACCTTGCGTTATGCTACAATACAATCAGGTGTGAAATCATTATTAGGCTATAATGTAACTACAAAATTTATCTCTTTTTTTAAAATCATGTCCCTCTCAATAAATATTTAAAAAGAGAAATGTGACCATAAATTATGCTTTAGGGGAATGTTCCTCTAGTAAATGATTATAAAGACATGCTCTTTTTTTAAATACTATTATTTGGCATAATTTCCCCATTTATGCGTTAGTTTAAAAGAGAATTCTCGTCCACTTCGCGGATTCGAGTTGAGATGTGACATTTTTAAAGAGTTTTTTACTGTAGCAGAAAATGTTAAATGTGACATTTTCTAAGAGCTTTTTACTGTAGAAACTTAAAATTGAAAAATCGAATCGGTAAAATAAACGATGTCTTAAAAGAATAACACAAAGGAGTTGTTTTATTCTTCTCTTATTTATTTTTTTTTATGCATAAGTAAATTAGTAACGTGATGTTCATTCGTTGGATACTCATACGGATCAACTCTGCGTAAATTACGTTGTGTATCACTTCTTCTACTTTTTTTTTTTTTTTTAAAAGAAAGTTTCGTATCACTTCTAAAGTTTGTTCTTTATTTGTATCACTTTTTTATTTTTTTGAAAATCATTTATACTACTTTAATATAAGATCTAAAATCTGAAATTTATTTTTCAGCTATTCATTATAATATTATACTATCATTATTATTATTGTTATTATTTATTATTATTATACGGAAGTCTAAAAAGACAATCTATCAGCGGCATTCGTGTAGTTCACCCGAAACTTTATGGAGGTCCACTAGCGCGAGTGGCCTTAAGAAGCCCATTTAATTGAAATTGGGCTACACTCATAAAGAGTGGCCCATAAAAGGAATAGATTTGTCCCAAACGCTGTTCACAGTAAACCGGAACCAAGATCCCACCGACCCGCCTGAGAACAGAACTGATTTAAACTGACCTGACCGAAAACCGAATAAATCAGTTTTAAAACCGAACCTACAGTTTCTGTACACGGTTCGATTTCGATTTAGGGTTGGTTCGATTTCGATTTAGGGTTTGTTCCTGTCGGTTAAAACCGAACCGAAGTTCTTACTTAAAATATGAAATAAATAAATCATGCAGAAATGAGGGATCGAACCTCAGTTACAAGGTCAAAACGCTACAAGCTCCACCAATGCTCCACTCGGGTTTCTACGTCAATAATAGAAATGCGTTAGTATTTATTAGATACAGAATTCCAGGCTTTTTAATACACACAAACGCAATTTAAGAGTCCCACATCGAAAATGTATTGAAATCTCAGTCTTCCTTCCTCTATAAAATGCCATCAACGTGTGCAAAGTTGCTCCAGTTGAACTCAGAGCCTCAAATGGCCCCATTTTTTTTTTCCACATAAAAAATATTTAACTTTTTCTTCAGAACTCGATAATAAAACTACGGCTTCATTTTTTTCGGGTAACTATCATATTCCCTTTTTCCACAAATCACTTTTTTTTGGTAACTATCATATTCCCTCAATATTCTTTTCTTGTTGCAAATCTCGCCATTTTTTTTTTCTTTTTGGTATCTATAGCTAAAACTCTTAATTTTTTCTTAATTTTTTTAGCTAAAACTCTTAATTTTTTCTTAATTTTTTCAGGAACCAAACAGACATGGTTATTTATGGGAGTGACATAACTCTGCATTTATAAGAACCACCGCAATATGTGTATATTTGTTCTAATGATTCGCTTGCAAAGTTGTTTGTCTAAGATATAGAGAAACCAGATTCAAAATATATTGGTTATTTATCCACATCCAAAAAGGAATTTTTTTTTTTAAATACTGGTGCTTGTCAAGAATTGTTAAAAAAAGCAAATTTTCTGATAAGTAAGTCTAACATCGATACTATATAGTTAAGTGGGACCCCTTTTTGTTTTTCACAATATAGAGAAATTAAAAGTTTTGAAGATTAGAGAAAAGATGAAGAGAGACAGGTTTATGAGGAATTCAATTTCCTTTGTATGGTTGGTTGTGCTTGTTGGCTGCCTATTTGTGATCCTAATCTCGACGCTACGGCTTCCTCAAGTACAACTCGAAAGCATGCCGATCGGATTGTACCGGACTACAAACATCCGACAAGCTTTAGAGAATGAGAACGCCATTGGAAAATTTGGACAGATGATGATCGAAATGTTGCCCGAGGATCTTGCTTTCACTGTCTTTGTCCCGTCGGAGAGAGCTTTCAAGCGCGATTTGAGGCTGTGGGTGAACGAGAGTCTTGTGGGGGAGAAGAAGGGAGGGAAGATGAATGATGATTCATATGCAATAGTTTCTAGAGTTCTTGGATTCTCAGCTGTTCCTAGGACTCTTGTTTCGGATGATGTGCCTTTTGGGAAGGAAGTTTTGTATGATTCTATATCTGGGTTTGTGTTGTATATCTCCAAGGACGTGGACGGAATGCTTGTAGTTAACAGGGTTAGATCCCAAAGAGTTGATATCAAGAAGAAGGAAATTATTGTGCATGTTATGGATGGGGTTGCCATGGATGCTGAGTTTGAGGAGTCGGTTCAGCCTGACAATGATGATGAACAAAGATAAGTGAACTTAAGGAATGGATTGGCTTTGTGGATGGCAATGTGGAAAACTGGAAAGTTTGTACTGTACTAATGTTTTGTGAAATTTTGTATCTTCATTATTTAAGGGAGATGAAATAGGTGAATTCATGACCATTTAGAACTGTACTAATGTTTTATGAAAACCTGACGACATTGACGACATTGAACTGTTGTACCAATTTATACTATTGCAAAATTCTGTAACAAAATGTGTGCATTTGCTAGCAAAACATTTTTGCTTCTCAATTCTTCCTTTTGTGTTATCATGTTTTCTTTCCAAGCTCGTTAGTTTAGGTATCTTATAATTTCAAGTCATGAAATCTATATCCATATATTTGAATAAGTTTTGCTCAAGTTTTTCAAAATTTTCTATGCTGTGTTTTACACTTTAGATTGTTGCTCAAGGATGTTTTGCATTATATGTAGCACCGAATTCTCTTGGTGGATTTCTGACATAAATGTAACGTTGGTAGATTCTTGTCTGACAAAATGCAATTGCTAAAATTCAAGATTTTGGTTGATCAATTGAAAATTTGAAAAGAGAGTACATCTTTATATCCCCAGAACATTTCTGTCATCGATTTGGCAAATTGGAGAACATAAATTGAGAAAGAAACTGTCCCCCATGTAGGACAGGAAGTCATAGGGATAAAATTAAACAGGCCAAGATGTCTGCATCATCTACTTCAGAGTTCAGATCGCGCAAGATTTATAAATGATCAAAAAAGAACTGGAGGATCAAATCATTGAAGCTTTCCATCGTCATATGGAGGCGCCTAAATCCAAGCCTGACCTTAAAAACTCTAGCTTCCTGATGCAGTTGGTACGGCAACAGGCTTTGAGTCTTCCGCTTTTTCATGCTCCTTGTTAAGGATCTGAAATATGCCAAAGTTTTGTCATGACCAAACTTCAGTGACATTTAAGTAATTTTGACAACAGCATGAAGTCATGCTAATTGATTGCTTAGTGAGGCTCTTTGAATAATCCCAAAACAGATTAATTAGCTTGAAAATATAATAAAAATTTAGGTGGACAAGATTCAGATTTGAGCCGTAAAGACCGAATGAACCACACATTTAACAAAAGTAGAACAAAGCATGAGAAGGATAAAAAAAAGTACCACCTATGCCAGGCTTCCCTATATCCATCCCTAAGACCTAAATCCAATTTGAGAATTCAACACAAAGTCAAACATGGGAACTTGGAATGTGAGAACATCACCTTGTTGTTGATCAAGTTGTGGAGAGCAATTACACTTCGGATCAGGGAAGAAAGATAGATAACCAACATCATGTCATTTGTTTTCACTGCTCGTATCATAAGAAAAACATGAAACAACACACTAAACAGTAAGACAAATTGCTACATCAATTATCAAACAACCTAAACACTCGATTGATGTAATACAGTACATAATGTTTTAGCTTTATTTACCTGCGAAAGCTTTAACCAACTCCGAGATATTAAGGTTTGGAAGTAGATTGAACACATTCTGTAAGAATTTCGTGGCAGATAAGGAAAGAAGGCAATAATCACTATGACAAAAAAATATTCCAAGCAGCAAAAACAGCCAAAGGATATAATTGTTCAAATGGAAAACAAACGAGGTCGTTTCATGGCGTACGTTGAACAATGAACACTATGCATAGAAGAATCAAAGGGCCGTGACAAAATATTTTTTCAACGATGCCATCTTTCATTTGCTTCTTGTGATCTTGTATTGCAGTCATAAAGACGGCCTGTGAAGGCCTTTGGAGTATAAAGTTATGAATGTGCAATCAGTCTTAACTCCTCAAACCTATTTCCTTTATTAATTCACTATCTAACCGTTGACTGTTTGAGTTAAGAAATCAAGATGTATGTTAAAAAGAAACTGAACCTGTAGGTGATACAAAATCTCATGGTTTAATGGGAGTTTTTCATCAACAACAAGGTCAAGATAACTCCGAATCTCCCTAAGTCGTGAATCCAAGCCTTTCAAGGCTGTAAGTTTTCCCGTAACCTGCATAAGACAAAAAGAAACCCATGTCTTGAGAATTGCGAAGTTCCTCGGAAATCAGAATAAGATCATTTCTTTTGGTTCATCTCGGATATTATACGGTCCCCTGGTCAGAGTTCATCCATGATGTTTTTCTCAATGAGGGGCACCAAAATGGGTAAACAAAAAGAAAGAGGCAAGGTCGAAACAAGCACTACAGAGAATGAAAATAAAAACCAAACCTCTGTTGCAAGGGTGCTAATGGTTGTATCCTTCACATCTCTAAGTAAGTGTTCCACTCCTGTCAAGGGCAAATGATAAGTAAATGATGAGAATGCAACAGAAGATCAAATTGACATATTCAATGTCATCCAATAAACAAAATATTCTACACACGTGAAAGATAAAAATCCCTTTTTAATTTGATATTAGAAAATTAGATCAAGGTAGAGGACCGATATTTTAACTAGGAGTGTCAGTTTCACATCACATTGCTTACCGATTTCCTCAACTTCATGAGCAGCAATTTCTGAAGGCACGTGGACAAACACCTTCTGGCTTTTTTGGGTGGCATTCTATAACCACATTGAAATGTTAGTTAATATGCCTACAGTTGTTTTATCAACTGAAGACAATGAGAAAGCAAATAATAAGTTTCAGGTACAAAAGAACTGGTGCCTCTACCTCCTTAACCTCCTCAACAGCGCAATAAGCTTTTGTGGGTATTCCCAGTTCTTTAGGTTGGACATCAATTATGACCAGAACAGGATTAGGAACATAGCTGTAAGATCAAGGCAAACCTAGTTTAACAAGCGTAAAATTCGTTTCCACCAAAAACAAGCCTATAAATCATAGTTCATTTATTGAAATAAATTGCCATCTTACTCATTAAATAATCCGTGAATATCAAGATCATTTTCACGCAATTTCGGGCCAGTGCTGTACCACCCAACGACATGCTCCTTGGCTAAAAATAAAGAAAGAAAGGGAAATAAAGAAAAGACCATTAATCACTTCTAACGTTAACACAAAAATTTGGATAAGTGAAGTGAAATTATCCAGCCAATACCATTAATCCTCTTGAACATGGAGAACATGGACTCATGGTAGTTGTGATCAAGGAACCATATGCTTGGGTCCTTTTCATCTTCTTCAAAAGGAACTGTGAGTAAAAAAGAATCAGACTTTCACAACTCAAAATAAGCTCATTCAATGTGATAAGATTAAAAAAAAAAAAATTACAAGGTAATATCAAACAGCCCAGAAAGATATATATAATTTTTTGGTACCAATCGCCTAGTTTCACAATGGGTAAATCATTGTTTGTTTCTTTTTTTTTTCGTTTCTAGAAAGAATTTCGTTCATTCTTTTATGTGGCTAAACTGAAAAAAGGAAATATTTTTACTTCTAATGTTCCTTTCTTCCCATTATTACAAAATCCAAAGACGAAAAATTGTTATTCAACACGCCCAAAACTCTTCAACCAAATCAAAAGAAAACATAATTCTCACAAAAAAAACCAACGAATTCCCAAACAAAGTCCGAGTCTTTTACCCCCAAAAATAAAATTAAAGGCTCAGATCGAAAGAGAAGCGAGAAAAGGGGAAAATACGAACCGGCATAGCTGTTGGTGACGTCGACGGTGCCTTTGAAGGAGCTTCCGAGCAAAACTCCGACGACGCGCTTGCGAGTGTCCTTGGCGACCCTGTTGTAGTTGTCGACGATGCTCAGCAAAACCAGAGGGTGAACTATCACCTTCTCGATCGGCCTCGCCGAAATCTGCTGCGTCTTTATCACATCCATAACCACCAAAAATTTCGGAAACGATTTTTCTGGGTTTGTTTGTTTGTTTGCTTTGTTCGAATTTGATTTTACTTTGGTACAGTTGTCTTCTCAGATTTATATATAAGACTGGTTGTCAGATCCGTCGAGACTCGAGGGTAAAGTACAGAGCAAGAAAACTAATGTAAATGTGAATTTCTTTTCTTCACTCTAAAAAAGAAAAGGAAAAAAAAAAAGAAAAACTAATTTTTTTTGTTGTTGTCGTTTATAATTCGTCGATTTTGAATGCTATTACGGGTTTTCGCTCCTGTCGTATATATGCCGTTTTTAAGAGCCCAGTCGCTTTTAATGTTATTATTACTCATTGGTTTTCTACTTCTATTTGTTTTTTATTTTCATTTTGTTGCCCATCATCTGTTGTATATTTTTTTTACTCGTCGTCTTTAAAATATCTGTCGTTTTTCAACTTGTAGATGCTGCCCTTTCCAATTTGTTGTCGTTTTATTGATATTGTCGTTGCATTTTGATTATTTGTTGTCGTTTCTTTGTCGTTTGGGACAATTCTCGTTTTCTGCTTCTCATTGGTGAGCGTCTTTTATAGTGCTGTTGTCGATTTCAATGTTGTCCTTATTATCAATTTTCATCATTTTTAATATTTGTCGTCATTTTCTTGTTCATATTATTTTGCCTACAAACAATTCGTTTTTCTCTGGGAGTTTTATTTATTTATTTATTTTTATTGAGTTTTGGTTCGCTAGTGATTGTCGTTTCCTCTTCATAATTGATTAGTTGATTTTAAGTAGCCTTTTTATCATGGTTGTCGTTCTTAAAAAAGGTTGTCGTTTTCTAGTATGATGTCGGCGCTTCTTGTTACATCCTTTTTTCACTGTCGTTTTGTTCTATGATATCTTCTTATTCTTTCGGTGCCGTTCGTCGTTCCGATGAGTAAGAGAGTGTTTATTTTTATTTTTTTCCCGTCTTTTCTAACTGTTTTGTCATTTTTTTTTTCCATTTAACCGTCGTTGTAGGACTTTTTTTTATCCATTGCAGATTTTTTTTCCTTACAAAATGTGGACATTTTGTGTCGAATTGTCGATGATTAGTTTGGAACAAAAGAAAGAAAATCAATTTATCTAAAAATATAAAAAGTTTTAAGGAAACTTAAAATAAACTAATCATCTCAAGTTTTTAAGTCTTTTTTTTGAAGGATTCTTCAAGTCCTTTAAGTTGTAAGTTTATTAATTCAGCAAAATGTTGCAAGTTTATTAATTAGAAAAATAATAAAATAATATAAAAAATGAAAATTCTTAAAAAAACTAGTACACATAAAATATAAAAGGTGACTAGTAGTAAATTATTCATTAAAATTTTAGTCACCTTTAATACTAGATTTTTAATGAAATTGGCTATTAAATTCTAAAACCCCTAATTCTTAATGAAAAATAAAATTAATTTTTAAGGTTTTTAGTAGTGAAATTAGTTCTTTTTAGAGAAATAATAAGGAAGAAGCGATTAATATTTCATTTGATTGTTTTAATTTGACCATCAATTCTAATAAAAAAAAATGAAAAAGTGGGGGTGGGGAAACCAAAAAAATAAAAAAAAAGTAAAGAAAAGAAAGAAAGAAAGAAAGAACAAGGGTGCCAGTTGCCAAAGTCACAATCGTCGTCTTCAATTGGAAGGGGACTTTGATTCTATTCTGCTGAATGAAAGAGAAGAAAGCCCTAAATCCATTCCTAGCAGGCAGGCACAGCGTAGCTCGAAGAAACAATATATAATTACATGGGTTCGTTGAACAACACGGCGAGCTTCGAGTCGTCACCGGAGATGGAGAAATTCCTTTGCGATCGATTGCTCGACCAGAACCAGCCCATCTCCAAGCGCTTCAGAGCTCTCTTTTCTCTCCGCAATCTCAAAGGTTCCGCTCCTCGCAACGCTCTCATTCTCGGTTCGTTCTTTCTCTCCAATTTCTCTCCTTTTTTCCTTTAATTTTAGTTTTCAAGTTACGTTCTTTTTTGTTTCTCTTCCTCTGTTTCAGATTATGTAATTGAATTTTGAATTTTTTGCTTAGATTTCTTTTGAACATTCTCTATATGTGATTATATCCAGTTTGAATTGTGTGCAATGAATCTCCACTGGAAAATAGTTCCATGAAACTAATAGTGGAAAAAGATTATACATATATGTGTGTGTGTGTGCGCGCGTTTTCTGGAGCTCGGCCTATTTCGTAACTGAATCCTGACTTCATTAGTTCACAAGTTTACATCTTGTAATGGCTATATGAGCTGCATATTTGTTAATACCCTCTAAAGTGAAGCTTATATAAGTATAGAAAAACATAAGATGAACATGATTTATGGTTCGAAAGATTTAGGTTTTCAACTGTTTACTCATATGTTGGAGAAGCTTCTGTAGGATGTTGGTTCTCTGCTCCATTATTGATGATACTCTGCAACGGCTTTTATGGAAGATGAAGTTGATATTATGAGTCTTATAGGGTTTTACGAAGTTAACATGTAAATTTTTTATCTGTTCAATGTTTTTTTTTTTTTTTTTTTTTTTTGTGAATCATCCTCTGACTTAGAGCGTTTTACCATCGCAGCGACAAGGGACTCTTCAAATTTGCTGGCTCATGAGGCTGCATTTGCCTTGGGTCAAATGCAAGATGCGGATGCAGTCCCTGCTTTGGAAGCGGTTTTGAATGATCTTTCTCTTCACCCTATTATTCGTCACGAGGTGATTCTTTGATTTTACTTTTTTCTTATCTGTTACTTCTGTTATCACTCAATGTGGATTTATACTAGGTAACTGATGAGAAACCAGGCCAAGGGCTGTTGTCTATACTCGGAAGAAGAAGCGTTATATTAGTAATTAGGCTAGGCCGATGTGCTGATGTGGCTTTTGTAACTGCTTCGGTTAGTTGTTAGCTTGAAAGTTAGTTTGTTAGCAAGAAAGAATTGTAAATAAGGCTGAGGAGCCTATAAATAGGAGGGATTGGGAGAGGTTAGGGAGTTTTTGGGAAAAGTAGAGAGTTTGGAGTGGAGAGTCGGTGATCTCTCGAACATCACCATTGTAGAGCCTTGGATTCCTTGTGATTGAATAGAATCTCATTCTTTCGTTTCTTTTTCTATCAATTTGTTGTGTTTTCTATCAAATTGGTATCAGAGCAGTTCCGTCTGGGAATGGTAGTGAAGAAAACCAATAGGAAAATGGAAGGAAGAGTGGAGAATGTGGAGAAGGAAGCCGGTGAGCTTGTGATGAACGTCGGGGGACTCAAGGAAGTGGTCGGACAACTTTCGGAGGATATCAGCGCAGTGAAGGAATACATGAAGGAGTTTTTGGTTTGGATGAGGTCAAGAAGTAACATGAATCAGCCGGCGGATCAAGCTAGGGCTTACACTTCGAACGTCAACGAAATTCCATCGGTCCCGGCGGGACAAGCCGAGAACCCACCTGCAGAGCGAGCTAGGGCTTCGGTTTCGAATGGTGGAGCCACGACGGCGGCGTTTCGCTTTGGATATGGAACAGCGCCGAGTGCTCAGAGCAGCGGAGATTCACAATTTTTCCGGATAGAGGTTCCTATCTTTAACGACGAAAATCCACATGGCTGGTTATTCCGGCTAGAGCGGTACTTCTAGGTTTAGGGCGTGGAGGCGGCGGAATGAGTAGCGGCTGTGATTGGACTCGAGGGCAAGGCATTGAACTGGTTCTAATGGATGGAATCCAGATGCCACAAACCGGAAATCACTACGAGGCTTTGATCGCCTTACGACAAGATTCGTTGGTGGCGGACTTCCGGGAACGGTTCGAATTGCTCTCGGCTCCTGTTAGGGAGGCGGATGAGGAATTCTTGATCGGTGCTTTCTTGGAATGGACTAAACGAAGAGATCAAGGCTGAGGTACGTATGATCAAGCCTAATTCTCTCATTCAATTGATGGACCTGGCCCAAAAAGTTGAAGGAAAAAATTGGGCTGGGCCGGTTTACAAGGTCTAGGGTTAGTGGAGATGGTTCTGGAATTTTCAGAGATGTCTATGGGTCAAAGAAAACTGTGATAGGAGGAAACTTAGTGACTGGTTCCAGTTGGACTCCACCGAGATTTCCAGATAGTAATAGGGGGTTAGAGTTGCCACGGGCCAGTTCTACAAGCGCTCCACAGTCTAACGTGTCAGTAAACAAGGAGCATACTAGTTCTCCTTCTCAGCCTCTTCAGCGGAGTGAAGGCATCAGAAAGAAAATTTCTGATGGCGAGATGTAGAGAAGAAGAGAGAGGGGACTGTGTTTTAGGTGTGAGGAGAAGTGGCATGCCGGCCATGTTTGTAAAAACCCTCAATTACAAGTCTTGATTGTTGCAGTCGAAGAAGAAGAGGAGCATTTGGCTGCTGAAGAGCCGGATTCACCACCCACAACACAGGAAGAAGGATCCGTGGAACTTTCTATAAATTCCATTGTGGGAATTCCTTCTGTTAACACTATGAAGGTTAAAGGTACTATTTTGGACCGAGATGTTGTTATTTTTATCGATTCCGGTGCTTCACATAATTTTCTTTCTAAGGGGATTGTTGAGGAGTTACAAATACCGGTAGATGCTACTCCTAATTTCGGAATCATGGTTGGGAATGGCTATAAGGTCGCTGGTCAGGGGTTGTGTCGGTAGGTAGAAGTCTAGTTGCAGGGTCTATCCATTATCCAAGACTTCTTTCCTCTTGAGTTGGGTAGTGCTGATGTTATTTTGGGAATTAGTTGGTTGGGAATGTTAGGGGAGGTCAGCGCTAATTGGAAGAACTTGACTATGCGGTTTGATTGGCAAGGGAAACGGGTTTTGCTCCAGGGCGATTTTTCTTTGTCTAAGACTCTTGTTTCTCTCAAAGCTATGATTAAAGCGATTCAGGAGGAAGGACAGGGGTTCCTCGTTGAATTTGGGCAGGTGTCCATACTGAATCAGTCAGGGGAAGGTGTGCGTGATGCGCACTTGGAAAAATTGTTGGCAGAGTTCAACTCGGTTTTTGAACCTTTGGCCGGTCTTCCTCCTTCAAGGTTTCATGACCATGTGATTCCATTGAAGGATGGAGTTGATCCACCGAATTTGCGTCCCTATCGTTTTCCTCATTCACAGAAGAATGAGATTGAGCGCATTGTTAAGGAAATGATAGAAGCCGGTATTATTAAGCTTAGTAATAGTCCTTTTTCTAGTCCTGTGCTGTTGGTTAAAAAGAAATATGGAGAATGGCGATTTTGTGTGGATTATCGCGCTTTGAATAAGATTACTGTTCCTGACCGTTTTCTGATTCCTGCCATCGATGAACTGTTAGATGAGTTGGGAGGGGCTGTCTTCTTTTCTAAATTGGACTTGAAATTGGGCTATCATCAGATTCGGGTGCGCAAGGAAGATACTCCGAAGACTGCCTTCCGGACTCACGAGGGCCACTATGAATTTTTAGTTATGCCATTCGGTTTAACTAATGCACCAGCTACGTTTCAATCGTTGATGAACGAGGTCTTCCGTCCACATTTGTGCAAATTTGTCTTGGTCTTTTTCGACGATATCCTTGTCTACAGTAAGGATTGGGACTCACATTTACAACATTTGCGACTGGTGTTTACTTTACTGCAGCAGAATCAATTAGTGGCCAACAAGAAGAAATGTGTTTTTGGGTAGCAAAAGATAGAATATTTGGGGCATATAATCTCCAAGTCTGGTGTTAAAGCTGATCATGCAAAGATTGCTGCAATGGTGGACTGCCTCCCAAGAACATCCGTGATTTACGTGGTTTTTTGGGCCTCACGGGTTATTATAGGCGTTTTGTGCTGAATTATGGTAAAGTGGCTGAACCTTTAACTCACTTGCTCAAAAAAGATGCTTTTTCTTGGTCTTCGGAGGCTCAAACGGCTTTTGAGGAGTTAAAGCAGCGAATGGTGTCATTACCGGTGTTGGCATTGCCGGATTTTACCAAACCGGTTATTATTGAGACGGATGCTTCAGGACGAGGTTTGGGTGCTGTGTTAATGCAAGAAAACCGGCCCATTGCTTTTCTTAGTCAATCCCTTTCCGATAGGGGCCGCTCCAAGTCTGTGTACGAGCGCGAATTAATGGCTATTATCTTGGCAACCAAGAAGTGGCGACACTATCTTTTGGGAAGACATTTTGTTGTCCGCACGGATCAACGGAATTTGCGTTTCCTTCTTGAACAACATGTTATGAATGAAGACCAACAACGTTGGATCTGTAAACTCATTGGATTAGATTTTGAAATTCAATATAAGCCCGGTCGTGATAATAAAGTCGCAGATGCTTTATCCCGCAAGGGTGAGGAACTCTTGCTGCAGTCCTTTACCGTGATAGATACTCGGGAATTGGAATCAATTGAAGACGATGTTCAGGGTGACAATAAGCTCCGATCTATTGTACAAGGACTCTTGTTGGATCCACAGTTTAAATCCGGTTATCAGCTCAATGGGGGACGACTCTATTACAAGAACCGATTGGTTCTATACCTGCCACCAAGTTTTTCCGTGAATTCCACTCTTCGGCTATGGGGGGCCATTATGGTTTCTTTCGGACTTATAAGTGGTTGGCTGCGGTTTTATTTTGGGAAAGGGATGAAACGCAACATTCAACGCATGGTGGCTGAGTGTGAGATTTGCCAGCGAGTGAAATGCGATACCCTTAAGCCGGCAGGTCTTCTTCAACCTTTACCAATTCCGGAGCAGGTGTGGGACAACATTTCTATGGTTTTATTGGTGGCTTACCTCGAGCTTTGTGGTATGACACCATCATGGTAGTGGTGGATCGCTTAACCAAGTATGTTCATTTTTTCTCGTTGTCTCATCCTTTTACCGCTAAGGAGGTTGCGGGAGTTTTTGTGAAGGGTGTCGTACGTTTGCACGGTTTTCCTCGTTCCATTGTGTATGATAGAGATAAAGTGTTCATCAGCAATTTCTGGAGGGAGTTATTTCAGTTGGTTGGTATCGAACTTCGCATGAGTTCCGCTTACCATCCTTAGACAAACGGGCAGACCGAGGTTGTTAACCGCAGCTTGGAGGATTATTTGAGGTGCTTTTGTGGTAGTAAGCCACGGCAGTGGCCTAATTGGTTAGGGTGGGCTGAGTATTGGTTTAACACCACATTTCACAGTTCGGCCGGCATGTCACCGTTTAAGGCATTGTATGGTCGTGAGGCTCCTACTTTGCTGTGTTGGGAAAGACAGTGGTTCGACAGTGGAGGCTGTCAACCATCTGCTCCGCAATCGGAATGATATTCTTCGGGAGCTTAAGGACTGCCTATATGCAGCCCAGCACCGAATGAAATTGTATGCTGATAAGAAACGCCGTGACATCCAGTTTTAGGCCGGAGATTGGGTTATCTGAAGTTGTAGCCTTATCGTTTGAAATCATTGGCTCGTCATCGCAATGAGAAACTCAATCCTCGTTTTTACGGCCCTTTCTAGATCGTGGAACGGGTGGGGAGCGTTGCCTATCGTCTCCAGCTTCCCTCTTTTGCACGGATTCATGATGTTTTCCATGTGTCTCAGCTTTGGAAGGTTTTACTTCCTTCGACACCTGTGCAGCAATTTCCAGCTACTTTGACAGAGGATGTGGAGCTGGTGGTAGAGCCGGTTGAGTTATTGCAGGCTCGGAGACTTTTGAATGGTTCGGTGGAGGTGTTGGTCAAGTGGAAGGACCTTCCGGATTGTGATAGTACGTGGGAATCTTGGGAGTTACTGTCACATTAGTTTCCTCATCTGAACCATGGGGGGTAATGATGAGAAACCAGGCCAAGGGCTACTTGTCTATACTCGGAAGAAGAAGCGTAATATTAGTACTTAGGCTAGGCCGATGTGCTGATGTGGCTTTTGTAACTGATTCGGTTAGTTGTTAGCTTGAAAGTTAGTCTGTTAGCAAGAAAGAATTGTAAATAAGGCTGATGAGTGAATAAGGTTGAGGAGCCTATAAATAAGAGGGATCGGGAGTGGTTAGGGAGTTTTTTGGAAAAGTAGAGAGTTTGGAGTGGAGAGTCGGTGATCTCTCGAACATCACCATTGTAGAGCCTTGGATTCCTTGCGATTGAATAGAATCTCATTCTTTCGTTTCGTTTTCTAGGAAAAGTAGAGAGTTAGGGAGTTTTCGTCTCTCGAACACCACTATATTAGGGTTCTTGATTAGTGGCTGTAGTTTTGTGATTTTTTTTTTTTTATAACATTCAGTCCAATTTCTCTGTTATTGTGCTTGGTATCTTGACAATTTACATGTTGTTTAAATATAAATGGTTTTTGCACTATTGGATAGGCAGCAGAAGCCCTTGGTGCCATTGGTTTAGAGAGCAATGTTCCTCTGTTGAGGAATAGTTTGGCCTCAGATCCAGCTCAGGAGGTTCGGGAGACATGTGAATTGGCTCTTGAACGAATTGAGCAGTTGAAGGTTGACAGTGGCAAATCCACCATTGAAAAGTCACCTTTTATGTCGGTTGATCCAGCTGCAGCATCTGCTTCATGTTCTTCAGTAGCTCAGCTTAGGTCTGTCTGGTTTATTGCAAATTGCTTAACCCCTCTAAGAGTATGCATGTTTATAAGGTTTTTGACTTGTATTACTCAATTTTTAGGGATGTTCTTCTGGATGAAGAAAAGGGCATGTATGAGCGATATGCATCCCTTTTTGCACTAAGAAATAATGGTGGGGTTGAAGCTGTAGCTGCTATAATTGATTCTTTGGGTTCAAAAAGTGCTCTTCTGAAGCATGAGGTTGGTTAACCATTTTTTTTGACAAAATCATATTTAGCAAGTCTAGATTCTATGGGTGCGCGTTTGGAACTCGTTTCAAAATGATTTTTTTTTCTATATGAAAATGAAAATGAAAACGTTTTTGAAGAAATTAATGGAATAATTCCGATTATTCTTATTCATAAACAATGAAATGCAACCTAATATATAGGCTAGGGTGGCTGACAAACCAGTCCACCGAGAAAGGGAAATAGAATCCCTGAAAATCAGGAATTTCACCAAATCAGGAAAAAACCGGAAACTACAAAATCTAAATAAGGAAAACAGAAACTGAAATCTATTCTAAGAAAATAAATAACTTCCTAACTAAATGCAAGGGTTGGCTACTTTCTACACTCCCCCTTAAGCTGGGTTGTATATATTATACAAATCAAGCTTGGAGTTCAATTCATCGAAGCTGACCCTTGGAAGTGCCTTAGTGAGAATATCAGCAATCTGAAGTCTTGTTGAAACATAGCTTAGCTGCACAATCCCATTGTTGACCTTCTTTGAGATGAAGTGTCGATCAATCTTAATGTGTTTTGTTCTGTCATGATGCACGAGATTTTTAGCGATGCTAATAGTTGCCTGACTGTCACTAAACATCTTAACTGCATCCCTCGTCTCAACCTTGAGCTCCCTTAATAGCCTTTGAAGCCACATTCCTTCACATATTCCTAGTGCAAGAGCACGATATTCTAATTCTGCACTACTCCGAGAGACAACAGCTTATTTCTTACTTCTCCACGTGACGAGATTTCCCCATACGTATGAATAGTAACCAGTCGTTGACCTTCTATCAGTTAATTCTCCTGCCCAGCTAGCATCTGTGTATATCTCAACCTCACGTTTTTCCGATTTTTGGAAGAGCAAACAATGTCCAGGAGTCATCGTTAAATATCTCAAAATTCTGTTCACTGCTTCCAAATGATCCTCACTCGGATTATTCATGTGCTGGCTCACTACACTGACTGAGTAGGCAATATCAGGTCTTGTGTGTGATAAGTAGATTATTTGCCCACAAGTCTCTGATATCTTCCCTTGTCAACTGGATTACTTTCTTCATTTCTGTTTGGCTTTTTGTTGGGATCTATGGGTGTGTCAGCAGGTTTACACCCAAGAAAGCCAGTTTCACTTAACAAGTCTAAGATGTACTTTCTTTGGGATATTATAATTCCTTCCTTAGACCGAGCCACCTCCATTCCCAGAAAATATCTGAGAGTCCTGAGATCCTTGATCTCAAATTCTGTTGCAAGCATCTTTTTGAGTCTAATAATTTCCTCTGAATCATCACCTGTCAAAATGATATCGTCTACATATACTATGAGAATAGCTATCTTGCCTCCAGAATTGGATTTAACAAACAGTGTATGATCAGTTTGACACTGATGGTATCCATTAGTAATCACAGTTGCGGCAAACCTGTCAAACCAAGCACGAGGAGATTGTTTCAAGCCATATAAGGATTTCTTCAACTTACAAACAAACCTGCTGTTTGAATTATTTTCCAAGCCCAGAGGTATAGTCATGTAGACTTCTTCTTCAAGGTCCCCATTCAAGAAGGCATTTTTAACATCAAGTTGGTATAGAGGCCAATCTTGATTCACTGCAAGAGAGAGTAGAACTCGAACCGTATTGAGCTTGGCAACGGGTGCGAAAGTTTCCTGGTAGTCTATCCCATATGATTGCATGAAGCCCTTTGCTACAAGTCTGGCTTTGAATCTTTCGACACTTCCATCTGCTTTGTACTAATCGTGAATATCCACTTGCAGCCTACAGGATTTTTTCCATGAGGTAATTCTGTAAGGATCCACGTGTCATTCCTTTCTAGAGCCCAAATTTCTTCCTCAACTGCTTGTTTCCATGCTGGAACCTTTAGAGCCTCTTGGATAGAGTTAGGAATCTGCACACTATCAAGGTTGGACACAAAAGCCCTATAAGGTGGTAGCAACTTCCCATAAGGTACATATCTTTCGATTGGATGACCAGTGCACCCTCGAACACCTTTCCTGTGGGCAATTGGCTTATCAGAGTCATCAACCACTAGCACAATAGAGTCATGAGTTACGAAATTCATACCATTGTGATTATCGGATGCAAGAGGACTTGGTTCTGGTTCTTGACAGTCACGGGTCTGCATGGTGTCCTCTATATGCTCGGTTGGTCGTCTCCTTCTGGTATAGACACGAAGTTCATGATTATTAGTGTCAAGTTGAGGTGGAGTAGGAACAATTGGGGCTGGAACAATTGGAGCTATTTTAGTGGCAGAGTTTGGTTCTTCAAGTAGGGTCGGTTGAGTGGAAGTGCTCGGGATTGTTGAAAGAAAAATGGCCTGAGTGTCTTGGAAAAGATCCGAAATCTGATATTCCCTCGAGTTCTCCCCCTGAATTTCGGATTTGGGAAAGTAAGGTTGATTCTAAAAAAAGGTGACATCCATGGAGTTGTATACTTTCCTAGTGATTGGTGAGTAACACTTGTATCCTTTTTTATTAGAGGAGTAACCGAGGAAGATACATTTGAGAGACCTGGGATCAAGTTTGGTCTGGTGTTGTTGATGGATGTGAACGAAGGAAGAACAATCAAAAACCTTCAATGGTAAGTCGGAAGAAAAGGAGCGGATATGTGGATAGGTTTCCATGAGAACATGACGAGGAGTTTGGAATTTTAGGACTCGACTAGGCATCCTATTGATGAGATATGTGGCTGTGAGTATGGCTTCCCCCCAAAAGTGTTTAGGCACATGATTAGAGAACATAATGGCACAGGCCACCTCAAGTAAATGTCTATTCTTCCGTTCAGCAACCCCATTTTGTTGAGGAGTATCAACACAAGAGCTTATATGAATAATACCATGCTTGGAAAGATAAGGACCAAGAATGGAATTGAAGTACTCCCTGACATTATCTGTTTTAAGAACTTGAATGTTGCTTTGAAATTGAGTAGAGATCATGGAATGAAAGGATTGAAAGATGGTGGATGTTTCGGATTTTTCTTTAATAAGGAATGTCCAAGTTGTTCTCGTATGATCATCTATGAATGACACAAACCATTGAGCCCCATTGATATTTTTTACTCGTGAGGGTCCCCAAATATCACTGTGAATTACAGAAAATGGATGTGAAGGCTTGTATTGTAAACTAGAATATACATGTCTAGTATGTTTTGCAAGCTGACAAATTTCACATTGGTAAAAATTGAAATTTTTATTGATAAACAAATGCGGAAACAACTTTTCAATGTATCCAAAATTTGGATGACCAAGGCGACAATGCCATAACATGACTTGACTCTCAATTGAAACAGAATTGGAAACAAGATTAACGGAATTTGAACTAGACTCAGAAACACAACTTGACGGGTGAACTTGTCTACCAAGGAGATTATTTTCTTTGAGCAAATATAGGCCACCACGCATCTCAGCACTGCCTGAAAATCACAAAAATTGGAATAAAATTTAGTCACATTTTAAGTTACGAGTAAGTTTGCTGATTGAAAGTAGATTGCAGTCTAATTTAGGGACATAAAGGACAGGGTAAAGGTGAAGATCCTTTGTTAATTGGACTGATCCGGTTCCTGCCACTGGTGAAAATGAACCATCAGCTATTCGGACTGCAGAGTGACTAGTACATGGACTGTAATTTCTGAAACAGTTAATGTCTCCAGTCATATGATCCGAGGCTCCCGAGTCAACTATCCACGGTTTTGGTGATGTATTTTGGACAATATGAGCATAGGATAGGATACCTTGGTGTGCTAGAAGGCTGGTAGGTTGCTCGGCAGGGGATTGTGATGTTTGTGGTGCTTGTCCGGAACTAGAAACATGACCAAGCATTTTCTGCAGCGCCTCAAGTTGCTCCTTGGTGAATGGACTGACTTCTGCATTATTTCCTGTTGTAGCAGCAGCATTTGCACGGTTTTCCTTGTCAAATCGTTCACTAGATGGCTTCTAATCTGCAGGTTTTCCATGTATTTTCCAGCATGTCTCCTTCACATGACCAAGTTTCTTACAATGGTCGCACCATGGACGTCCTTTCCTGGGCTTATTATTCTGAGAGGAATTGTGAGTGTACAAGGCTGACCCTTCGGAAGTGGACGTAGTGTGGTTGTCTGTCATCATCAGTTTCTTTCTGCTCTCCTCTCTACGAACTTCTGCAAAAGCCTCCCGAATAGTTGGGAGAGGTTTAATCCCCATGATTCTCCCCCTGACTTCGTCTAGGTCTTTATTGAGGCCAAGAAGAAATCTGATGGTCCTTTTTTGTTCAACAATCTTCCTATGCAAGGCCGAGTCATCAAGACATTTCCAAGAATAAATCTCGTACATGTCCAATTGCAACCAACAGCGTGTGAGAGTGTTGAAATATTGAGTAACACTCGATTCTCCCTGTCGTAGATCATACAATCTGGTCTCAATCTCAAACAACTCTGAGGAATTCTCAATGCTGGAATACGTTTCACGTGCAGCCTCCCATATTTCCTTGGCTGTCCTGTAGAGCAGAAAGTTCTCTCCAACATCCGTGGTCATGGAATTTATTAGCCATGACATAACCAGGTGATCATCAGTTTTCCAGGCCCTGTATTTTGGATCTGTTGTTTCTAGAGTAGAGATTTCGCCTGTAAGATGTCCATCCTTCCCTCTGCCGCAGATGTACATAAAAACGGACTGCGACCATTGAAGAAAATTATGGCCATGATGTTTCTGATTTGTGACAAGATGAGAGGAGGAATCGGGAATGATAGGGGCTGAAGAATTAGGCTCGGATCTAGAAGTCATTTCCGAGGAAGCCATGCCGTATTTTGTCATGGTGAGAGTACGGCAAGGGAAAAAGATGTTTGGAGAAGATTAGGGTTCAGAAACCTAGGGCTCTGATACCATGAAGAAATTAATGGAATAATTCTGATTATTCTTATTCATAAACAATGAAATACAACCTAATATATAGGCTAGGGTGGCTGACAAACCAGTCCACCGAGAAAGGGAAGTAGAATCCCTGAAAATCAGGAATTTCACCAAATCAGGAAAAAACCGGAAACTACAAAATCTAAATAAGGAAAACAGAAATTGAAATCTATTCTAAGAAAATAAATAACTTCCTAACTAAATGCAAGGGTCGGCTACTTTTTACATTGTGCAAATAGTTTGTTAGTTTCTTATAATAGATGGAGTCCTCTACATTATAAGAAATTATTTAGTAAGCCCGGGTAATTGATTCCGTCCAATTACTGAAGGGATTTGAGTTTTCCACAATTGGTTAGAATGGAGACAGGATGATATGAATATCTGACTCAATGAATTAATGAATCAACTTGGTGATACAGGTGGTTCTTGACTTGGATGAGACACTTGTATGTAGAATCCCTGAAAATCAGGAATTTCACCAAATCAGGAAAAAACCGGAAACTACAAAATCTAAATAAGGAAAACAGAAATTGAAATCTATTCTAAGAAAATAAATAACTTCCTAACTAAATGCAAGGGTCGGTTACTTTCTACAGTTTTCATTTCCATTTTGGAATCATTTCTGAAAATGCGTTTGGTAGTTTTATTCTGAGATTATTTTCAATTTAAAAAAAACTAAAACTGCATTTGGTGATTTAATTTTTAAAAACATATAATAATATTTAAAATAATAATATATTAAATAAACAATAATTGAATGCCAAATAAAAACACTAATAATTAATATAAAACCATTCTTTCATTCAAAATACAACACATATAAAAAAAACAACTTCAAGATTTATTGTTCTTTGAACATAAATTAAAAATATATACAGTTAAATTGAATTTTGACTATCTAAATTTATCTGAAAAAACTATCAAATGTAACTAATTTCAAACCACAACCCATAAACCCAGTTCTAATATACTTCAGAACCATCAAAATACGTAATAGCAATCAAACCCATTTCTTGTAGCAAAAGTACAATAGACCCATGTCTATGATGTTCTCAAAGAAAATGGAAACAGAGGCCAACACCCATCCAAAATCCAACTTAGCTACCCAAAGCATTCATCTAATCAAAATACAAAGAAAATCATAGAAACCCAACAGTCTCAAAACTCCCCACCACCTCCGATACCCTATCGCCAACCACCTCCTGCACACAATACAAACTATCTCATCCCCTTGCATCTCAAGATCAAGACCCACCCACCGTCCCTCTCCATCGCAAGAATGAGACCCTACTTCCCCTGTTGTTGCAAAATCAGAGCCCCCTTTCTTTGCAATTGCAAGATCAGAGTCCCCCTTTCCCGCCGTCATTATCAGATCCACCGTTTAGAAAGTGGGTAAGAGGGGAAACGGAGAAGAGGGAGACTGGAGGACTTCAGCCCGTCGAGTATAAGGAAAGAGGGAGGAGAATTTCTTGCGCGATTCCACTGACAACCCAAGGCTTAGAACGGAGAAGAGGGAAACATAAGAATGAGATGGGGGAAAATGAAACTGAGAAGGCAAACGATTAAGGATCGTTTTCAGTTTTGCTGACTTTTTGGGAACAAGTAGAAAACGTTTTCAATTTTTGTTTTTCAGGAAATGCGGTGCCAAACGCGTATGTGAGAGCATTTTCGTTTTTTAGTTCTTGGAAAACGTGAAAAATATTTTTGAAAATGCTTCCAAACAAGCACTACAGTTCTAGCTTTTTTGTTGGCCATTGGAAAGGCTCGGAATGATTTAGCAAAAACTAGTCTGTGGATGCTCTAATTCCTTAATTGTGGCTTCTGTAAATTAAGGTTGCTTATGTGTTGGGACAATTGCAAAACAAAGCTGCTTCGGCTGCTCTATCAAGCATTCTTAAGGATGTCAATGAGCACCCGATGGTTAGACATGAAGCCGCTGAAGCACTTGGTTCCATTGCAGGTATATGTCATTGACTCGTTGCTATTTTACTCTCGATCTTTTGTGTCCAGTTTTATTACATTTAAATCCCTATGGTTTTCGATTATGAATGACTTGACCAACATGCTGATTTTGGCATACTTGAAGATGATGAAAGCATATCACTTCTCAAGGAATTTGCCTCGGATTCCGAGCCAATTGTTTCAGAGAGTTGTGAAGTTGCTCTTAGCATGCTAGAATTTGAACGATCGGGAAAGTCATTCGAGGTAAGCATTAAACGGTTGTACTCTAAATGGGTTTTTTCATCATTGTTAAAACATCTTCTATAAGGATAACTAACACTGGTGTACTTCTGCAGTATCTCTTCATGCAAGCTCCTCTAGTTCAATAACAGTTTCTCTGACACCGGCTGGTGCATTCATCCATACGCCAAGAAAAGGATTCGTTTATACGAGAGAATTAATTAATCTTCTACAACTGCGACCGAGAAGTTGGGGGCAAAAAAGGGTATTGGGGGATAACTATTCTTGTTAATTTAGATCTTTATCTCCTAAAGCATGGTTTCCTAATTTATGTTGTAACGTCTAATTTATGGAGTTTGAGGGCTTGGAGGTTTTCCTCTTTTTTTTTTAGCATTAGTCGAAAATATAAATTATATAATGGCAATAATGATGGACCCCTTTTTTTCTTTTGTGTGCTGGAAAAATTTGCTCAAAACAGAATATATATATATATATATATGTGTGTGTGTGTGTGTGTGTGTGTGAATATCATCTCTTTCTTGTTGCATCTATCTTCAGAAGCCTTAACAGTAGCATCTCATAGAGATTTTATTATTAATGTTGTTGTTCTATAGTTTAACTGGATTTTTCTTCGCCCCCTCTTCTAAAGACTCTCGGCTGGTGTTCTTTCGAACTTTTCTATCTCAATTGAAATCGATAAATAGATTGGGTTGGAGGGTGGATGCACCAAAGTTGAATGTCACCACATTAATTTGCTTGTCCAGTCGCCATTCAACAATTTTATTGTTTTGGCTTTGTGAATTGTTCTCTTCTTATTTGGAAAACTTTATTGAATGTTAACTTTAGATATTTCTTTCTTTTTTTTGTTTTGTTTGTTTTATGTTCATGAATCAAATCTTGACAAATATCATTTGAAAGTGTATATTCAGTATTTTTACTCTTTATTCTTATTTTATTACTTTTTTTGTCAAATAATTATACTAATAAAAGTATATTTATTCAGACTCATGTATTTTTAAGGATAAGTTATGTAATTTTCTTAAAATTTATTAGAGTAAATTGATGATTTAGTTGATTTGTTAATACTTTTAGGAGTTTTTATCAATGATTCGCCTTTATAAATCAAAACTGTTGATTAGGCCAATAAGAAATATTCGTGTACATTGTCTATGGAAAAAAAAAAATGTTAAAATTTTATTTTTGCACGTCATTATATTATTATTATTATATTAATTATAATTATAATTATAATTTTTATTTTGCACAACCCCTTTTTATTCACACCCAGCAAAAGTTTGTGGGTTGGACTTGGTAGGTCTGAGGGTTGATAATTATCCTTTAGAAGTGTATAGGTTAAGCTTCTTAATTTATAATTTTTTAGTTAAATAATTATACTAATAAAAGAGTATTTATCAAGAATGAAGAGTAAAGGTTTAAATTTATACACTCTCAAAGGTAACTTCTCTAGTTTTTCTAATATGGGTTACAAGAGAGGCTGGGAGATGAAAAATTAGGAAATCTGCCTCAAAATTCTTATTTATTTATTTATTAAATTCAGTGTAATGCTCTTAGAATTTTGCTACTCTTAAGTTAATATTCAAAAGGAGAATTTACAACGTTTAAGGAATGTTATAAATCTGAATTCCCCTCATTAGAGGAGCATTCCTCCACATCTGCTATTGTAGATTTCAACTCTCTACAATATAAAGCTACTCTCTATAGGTTGGAGCTTGGACCAATTATGAATTATCTAGGTGAACTTGCCGAGCCTGGTGTTGCTGCTCTTTGCTATGTATGTTTATAAACTTCTAGTATATATATGTGTGTATCTATATGTTTGGAGGATTTGAGTATAGCTTGGGCAAAGGTCAAATTCATACAACAAGGGTTCATACTGGTCAGAAGTTTGAATATCTTAAAGTGGTTCAAGTACTTGACCAGGAAGAGACATGGCAGGCAATTAGGCTTGATGCTCTCAACTAAATCTGACAACAAATTCTTGGTGGAAATGCTTGGTCCATTTTTGAGACTGAAGATTAAGAATATGGCTATTTTAATGCTCATTATTTTTGAAGTAGTAGAAGCTGATAGTTGATACCCTTACTATGGATTAATATCCCTTTAAGTGATATAATTATTTATGATATTAATTAAGAGTAAGAGATGAAAATCTAAATTCATGTAGTTTAAGAGAGTATTTGTCTCTTTTCTCCTTTTTCTCATTTGATTTGAGTAAACATGGTCGGTGCAGGCAGTAGCCATCGAACTCACTTGTTAACCAAATATATTACAGCCGCTAGGCCTAATTCGGATATGTAATTTAACCGAATATTCTTGGGTTAAGATACTTTTCCATTTTTTACGAGATTAATTATACTGCTATTAAACTTACCTGTTATTACTAATTATATATGTCATCATCTAACATAATAATGTTTTTTGCTGGCTCAATATGTCCCATATTGTAAAAATCTGTTGAGCTTATACTACAATTTTGGGTTCATTTTCACTGCATGCAGGTTAATGATTCATATTAAGCCAAAAGAAAAAAAAAATTGGTATAACGGTAAGATGACACTAAATCACTCATGTGATCATCGATCAAAAAAGTCTTACAGTATTCGTACTAGTTTATTAAAAGTTTTCTTTATTCCTATGTTCAAACGACTTCCTTTATTATTTTTTTATTATAATTATTATTATTTTTTTAACTAGCTAGATTCGCACATGAAATTCAAAGATGGAATCAGACCCGAGGTTTGACCCATATGTGTGAAATGTACCAAGTATATTCATGAACTCCAAGGAGACATCTCCCATGAGAGGAAGAGCTTTCCAATTTCCAAGCAATATTATTCATAAAAACAAGGAATCCAACAGAGTAAATCACAGAGAGATAACACCAAACTTGTTTTGAGCATGCAGAGGAGAATGTCCATCCTATTTCAATTTTTTAAATCATGATACAAACTTTAATTAACAAAATAAAATTCTATCATCACCCACTACAATACTAGTACTTCTACTAACTGCCTAAAATCTCTTTCAGTTACAAGTTTTCAACTCTAAGGCCTGTTCACCTCACTGATTCAAGTTGAGATGTAATTTTGTGTGAGAGTTTTTTACTGTAACAAAACTCGAATTGACGAAATGAACGGAACCTAAATCTATCCCCCAACCATAATTTCTTTTTTTTTTTTGCCTTTTCAATAATTCTACATAACTATAGTATCAAAAGATACTATATCAGTATGGATCTCATGTTTTGAATCATTAGATATGTATTAAACTATAACTTCACATACTTTTTATTTTGATGTGATTTTAACCGGATCTAATATTCATAAACATAAACTACCGATGTCCTACCGTAGAAATTTTTTTTTTCCGCTAAAGATGTAAAACATGCATAATTAGACAAAGCTTAAGCGCAGATCCAGGGGTGGATGATCCATTTGATCTGTCTCAAATGTGTACGGAAAAGCTGCTGTCTCTTTGCACTCATTTGCATGGAATCTTCTCAGCTTCTCAGAATCCGAGTACTCTCCGAACGAATTCAACGGAAATAGTTGGAGGGTCTCAATCACTCCTTCCTGCTCATGACAAACTTGATCCTCATAATCATGATCACGACGACGATGATGATGATATATCTCCGCAATATCTGTACGTAGTAAACAAAAAAAAATCAATCAATCAATCATAGAAAGAAAATAACGTAATATAAAATTAGGTTAATTTCTCATATACATATATTTCATACGTACGTTTTGGTGATGGAATGTTCTTGTCTTCTCTGAGAAGGAAATCCTTATTCATGTCAATATTCTCATCAATGGAAACTTTGCGGCGCTTCTGTCTTTCCCTGGCTTTATGGTTCTGAAACCAGTAAAAGACATTCTTGCTTTCGATCTTACCGTAAAAGCTGAGCTGAGAGGAGATCTTCTGAATCTGGTCGGTGCTCGGAGTTCGGAGACCGGACCGGAAGAGATCCGTCAGAACTTTAACCTGTTCGCTCGTGGGATTCCAACGACCACACTTTGTTCCTGTCGTGCTTCCGTTACTGCCACCACGGACGACGACGTTATTAGTATTAATATTGTTTCCTGCTTTGAAATTGCAAAAGCCTGACATGCCTGCATCTTCCATGTTTTTGAGCTTCAAAATCTGAAAGTTTTCTTTCTAGAGCTAGCAGCTTCTTCTGATCAGCCTTTCAGCTCAAAACGATGTGAAACCCGTGTGCATGTATATATAATATGGCAGTTCTATGCCCTTAAAAGCTCTGAAGACTATTTTGAATTATATTACTCTTTTCTAATTTGTTAAGATATATATACTAACATTATATTATTATATACATAGTTTTTTTTTTTGTTGTTAGTTTTTTTTTATTTTAAAGAAATACATAAAAACCACATGATCATATTTAACATCCTCTTTTTTCGTCTAATTTTAATAGAAATTACAACAAAATGGGTTAAGTGAGAACAATTCAAAATTTATCAAGTAAAGTGAAAGTTTTTAAAATTTAAAAGACATACTGAGAATGAACTTGGAATAATCATATTATATACATAATTTCTTTTTGTTGTTGATTTATTTTTATTTTTATTTTTTATTTTTATTTTTTTTTGCTCAAGAAAAGTTCGGGAAGAGATATCACTGTTAGCATATTTCTTGAGCGTTATAAAAAAGGCTCCCTAAACGCGGGCAAGAATGTGCGCTGAAAATTCTACGTCTAATCTACCCTAGAACAGTGAGCGCGTAGAGTTTGTCTACACTATAATATATAGAAGTGAACGTCTAACATTTCATTTATTTTATATAACAATGATCTTAAAAATGTATAACCATATTGTGATAAATAATTTATTTTATTATTATATTTTATAAAATTATGATGACATAGAAAAAATATCATATTATACAATTTATTTCTGCCACGCTACGTACATGCGTGAAGGAGCTAAGCCTTTTGTTGTTAAGTATTTGCTCTGATGGAATCATCCCATTTGTTTTATAATATATTAGTAATGCATAGTTTATGGGGAATGTGAAGATTGATTATGTGGATTTGCTTCGTCTCATCTAATTTGCACTGTTTTTTGTGCAAAAGAGAGAAATAGAAAATTTTGAGAGAGACATGCGCGAAAGCTGCCACTGTTCAACGTTTTGGTCTGCGAGCAGACAAGATGAAAGTTTCACCAAATGATGTATAATATAAATACTTATCTTGAAACTCAATGCCTAAAAACTAATTAATTAATTCTCCTCTTTATCACTTTTTTTTTTTTTTGAATAATCTCCTTGAGTTCATCTCATAGGAATAGGGGTTTTTGTGTTTTTTAGTAAAGTGTGATTTGCTGCTATTATATAATAAGTTTAGTTTCATATAGATCAACATGCTTTTAGTAAACTAATATAATAATATCTAGCTGAGTCCAACAAGTCCCACCACGACATGTGAGAAAGCCAAAAACATAAATCTTTTTATACAAATGGGTGTTGTCTGCTAAACATATGATAATTATACAATATTGCCATATTATGCATTTGGTTATCTTTAGTGGGGTGATTGGCAAAAGTACAGATTGATGGAAATGGAAGTCAAAGTTACACATTGTCTGATCTAATAAGGTGGATGGTTGTGATCGTAACAGACTGACAAAGATACTCATTTGGGTTGACCAAAGCTACAGTTCAGTCAAATAATGTTGTTAAAGTGAGGTTAATAAACTTAAACTTAAACCTTCTTTTAAGGATGTGGGGACATAAACAAAGGGACAAAAATCCACTGAGTTGGTATTTGGGAGGGACAACTCATGAACAGCCAAAAGAGGAGCATAGATTGGATTTTCTTATGTCATGTGGCTCATGTCCTAGGCAACTACAATACTACATAACCCCCTTTTTTAAGTCACTTGTTTGGTACATCTTTAATTTGGTCCAAAATATATAAATCATGGGGAATCTAAAAAGACACTTCTTATTTGATTTGTAGGGTGACATTTTTCCTGTGGAGTGATCTAAAGTGCTAGCTAGATACAGATTTTTTTGGAGTCTAGGGCTTTGTCTTCCTATAAGAACGTTTTAGTGCATGCATGCCCATGTAGAGAATTGAGTATCTCTATGAAAATGTTGAATTTGAAGGTGAAATTGGCTAAGATTAAGGCATTTCAAAATTGTTAATTATCTCGTGTTAATTAGTAATTAACATCAGCCTGGACCACCACTAGAGCATATCTTGGTCCACCTTTTCGGCATCATAGATAAGTTCAATCTAATATTATCTCGAACTTTCTTGTTTCCTCCTTGTAAAGAAGTACAAAAGTATTCAAAAAGCAGAAGAAACAAGTACGAGAACTCAAAAGGTTAAGGAAGAAAGGATTTCAAAGTACACCACATGACATCCTATTGACTATTGTCGAATTAATGATGATAAATACAATTTTTTTTCAAAGCAGTTGGAGATAAAAAAGAAAGGAGAATTCTACTTTTTCATACCAACTAATAATGTTATGTTTTAAACTTTTCGATAAATAAGGTTCTGTCAATTTTATAATTTTTATATTTTTATGCAATTTTGATCAATGTATGGATTGAAATTTTTACCATAAGCTCACAAAAAAAAAAAAAAGGGAAATGGGAAAGAAGTTTACAAGCAATATCATTTGCATTAAAGATATTTTGGCTAGCGAAATGGAGCAGGGCCAAGTTGTGTCTAGCACTTGCCACAATTCCCAAGAAATGTTCTGCTCACGAGCATAAACATTTGTCTTTTTGTACTTGGCACGACAGTTTTGAGCTGTGTTCTAACTCCTAGGAGTTTGGTCTTCACTAAATTAACCAACCACTTTTTTCGTTTACTTGTTATGCAGGTTACAAATATTATCCTCGTAACAAATCAATTATCACAAATAAAATCATATTTAACATTGTGCAGTTAACAGAGCCATTAATAGCTGAATCAGTTATTCTAGAGTCGAAATTCTTTCTCAGTCCCCGTGAATCGCTACTCTTCTCACACTAGATTATGCAAAGAACAAAAGGGTAAGAAAAACGGTACTTGAAAATTAAAAGCAGTTGTGATATGAAAGAGAATTGAAGGGTCAAGTTTGGTAAAAGTGCCATGTGGTTGTTTGCTTCTGTCTGTTTGTTATTGTCCACCCAAATCCTAAAGTACCAATTTCTTTATTTTACTTGCACAGAGAGAGAGTAGAAAATATACATACATGGGTTTTAGAAATCCGACATACAGAAAATTAAGTGGAAATTGTTAATCAGTGAAATTCGAAAAGTGTAAATGCTAGAATTATGGCACGCGTGAAATTGAGGCCGCCCCGTAACTCAAAAAGTTTCCGTAATTTCATTGTCTTGGTTATTCCCTTGTCTCCAGCCACGTTAGTCATGTCAGTGCTTTGCTGATGCAGCGAGCGAGTGGAAAGTTCACTACCACCATTTGGGACTAAAATGGGGTGCAAAACGCCACTTAAATCCCGTGTTCCGGAGTACAAAGGCATTCTCATTATCTAATCAGACATTCATGTCCTGCCCATAATTGCGAAGTGGGACCCAAGAGAATTTATAAAGTACCTGCTTAAGTGACTCTTTTACTTGCGTTAAGTGTCAAGTGTTAGTCACACTAATCATAAGTATCATTTTGTGTCTATTTGTAATTTTGTATTTGCTTCATTTGATTCTCCGCAGGTGTAAATACATAGTCAAGAACAGAAATCGTGAGGTATAGTCTAACGATAACAGAGAGACAGTGCGCGCGCGCGAGAACAGAGTTGTTAATCTAGCAAGTTCATTTATTTGATTCTTTTTTTCATTTTAATTCGGTTATCATCTTAAGACAATAACTCGCTTGTTTCATATACTTACAACCTATTTAGTAAGTTAATTTAAATTTTTAATTTGAATTAAAATGTGACTTTATATAAAAAATTTACTGTTACAAAAAAGTTAAATATAACTGTTTCTATAAATTTTTTACTGTAATAAAACTCAAATTATAAACTCAAATCGGTAAAATGAACAAGACTTTAAACTCAAATCAGTAATTCTGTTACAGTATTTCTCTTACATAAAATTTAAATTTTAAACGTCAAAATCAAGAATTATAATTTGACTAGACCTTCAAACAGCCCTAAGACAACCAATAAGATCACAAATTCAACAAACTACAAATCTACGTGTCAAACTTAGTTTAAAAAACAAGAAATAGTGATCAATACTGATCAGCATTTTTCAATTTTAACAGTCGAGACAAAAACCATAAAATAGGTCAACTAGATTTGGAAGTTAGTTGATGCTACATAGATTATCATGAGCATTTTGTTCAACTACGCGCCTAGCACTGGATATCCGGTACTTTTGCGGGGAAAAAATATATACAACAACCATCCTAGAGAGGAATAAAATTTTGGATTGTACTCTATAATCAGAAAATTAGTGTTGGACTTCAAAAACGAAAAAGAGCTTATTTCCAATAATTAAACCAAATAAAGCAATCTTGACATAGGGACAAGCTACCTAAACTGAAAACGAAGTAAAATATCGTTGCAAAAATAAGATGACGCAAAATATTACCACCTCTTCAAATAAAAGGCCACATTTCTCGAAGTTGGCCATATAGCTGAAACAGAACTTTTTTTTTTTCTTGTCAAATTAACTTGTCCCGCTACATATATTCCCTTAAAGTGAGACAGAAATTACAGAATCTGAGCGGCTGTGTTCAACTTTTCTGCTAAACTGAGTTGCGTTCTGGTGATGCTTGACAAATATAGCAACAGCAAATGATCCTGAACATAACCAAACAAACATTATCTGAGAGATATAGATAACTTTTAATAACCCAGGTAAAAAAACTGGCAATAGGACGACTACCCTGGACAACCAAGGTCTAACTACAGATATAGAACATCGACTAAAACCCAGTAAAGCACTAGCAATATAAATTTTATGTTCTATTTCTTTAACCCGAAAAAAAAAAAATACAAAATTAAATTTTATAACCCAGGTGAAAACACTGGCAATTGGACAACTTCGCTGGACAACCAAGGTCTAACTAATAGAATATCCACTAAAACCCAGTAAAGCAATAGCAGTGTACATTTTATGTTCTTTTATTTCTTTAACCCAGAAAATTAAATGCAAAATTATCCCGTTTAGTAGTGTTTGTTTTCAAAATGTTTTGTTTTTAGTATGAAAATAGAAATGAGAACTTTTTAGGAATGGTTTTGAGGTTTTGAAATTGCATTTAGTTAATTTTCTTAGAGATTATTTTAGGTATAAAAAAAAAGGGTGAAATTGTGTTTGGGTATATTTTAAGAAAGGTATATTAAGTTATAGCTTAGAAATGAAAATGAAAATGGGGAAACAAGTTTCAACCCTTTTCTATGTCCTTAACAAAGCCATTTTCACTGTTTTTTGTTTTCGTTCTCATTTTCAAAGTATTTGCTAACCAAGCGCCGTTTGAAGACCATTTTCATTTTCCTGCCCCAAAGACGTGCAGAAACGTTTTCAAAAACAAGGTGAAAACAGTTCCAAACAGGCCCAATTGTTATATTGTAGAAATCCAAAGTAGGGTTCATGTAACTTGGGCAGTGATTAAGAACCACACTCGCATATGAAATTACCAGATTGGATGATGGATGTTGCCAAATAAAGCAATCGTGTTTTACCTGCAGACTGTCATTGAGAAGCTTATCAAAAGCCATCGGTGACAACTTGGGAACAGAAGCTAAAGTATCTGAGATAAATCTCCCTATGTTGTTATCTGGTGCTATGTTCCCTTCCTGAGAGGGAAAACAAATTTAAGTTATAACATCAAGCCAGAAGTAGGCAAGGCTGGACAGCTAAAGCAAAGACTCCTTACCACAACATTGTCAACATATCTGGAAACATCATCAATTAAAGCCAACAATCGCTCCATTGAGGCCTCCATTCCTTCCAAATCAGTTGGGATTTTATCAACCGCTGTAGTCTTTAGAATATCAACTGGACTCATTGAAGAAAAAATTTCGAATCAGACAGTCATTAACAAGTCCAAACAACCTTACATCATTGCCAGCATAGATATCCACATATATACAGCAATGACTTCAAGATTAAAGTGTAATGAACCAAACTTATTTCTGGGGAAATTACTACAATAATAAGTGGAGTGAAACACAAAATAAATTATGTTGCAACCATATTCATAACAGCAGAAGTGTTCGTTTCCTATGGTCAACTTTTTTCAATGATGAAAAATAACATGCACAAACTTCTAGGTTAAAAAACACAATGCAAATATAATAGTTGCATACTTCAAAAGCATTGAAATGAAAACTTCATGATAAATAGAACGACATGGTTGTGGCAAGAAGGCATTTGCACAAGCTTTGGAAAAAAAAAAAAAAAATCAACTCTTCCTCTTTGACAAAAAGAAAACCATTGAACAAAAAGTATTAATTTCATAAGACCCCCCAAAAGAATTAAGCTATTACGAGCACTTTGCCACTAATTGATGTCAAACTATTTCAAGAAACATCAAACAAGTAAACTGTATAGCCCCTTCATATCACACGCTCTAAGATTATTACAGCTACCTCCATAAGTCATAACTCTCATTTGGACATACAACAACAACAACAACAACAAGCCTTAATCCTAATTTAATTGGGGTCGGTTATATGGATTTCACTTTTCCACACAGCACTGTTCAAAATTAAACTTTCCTCAAAGCCTAGATCTAGAATGTCTTTTCTAACGACTTCGGTATACGTAATTCTTGATCTACCCCTCCCTCTCCTAGTATTAGGTATAAGAATGTCCTCCTAAGCACGAACTGGTGCTTCTAGCGGTCTACGTTGAACATACCCGAACCACCTCAAGCGGCCTTTGCGCACCTTATCTTCTATTGGTACGACACCTACTTTACTACGAATAACTTCATTCCTTAAGCGATCCATTCTCGTATGGCCACTCATCCATCTTAACATACGCATTTCTGACTCATCTTAAATATATGTTGTCTCTTAATGGCCCAACATTCACTACCATATAACATAGCTAGGCGGATTACAGTTCTCTAGAACTTAATAGGCATCTTGCCATCACATAAAACTCCCGTAGCATTCTTCCACTTAACCCACTCTGCCTTAATCCTATGTTGAATATCCTCTTCTATATCTCCTTTGTACTGCACTATAGACCCAAGGTATCTAAACTTCCTAGAAGCCCCAATCTCCACACCATCTAAAGAAATTCCATCACTCTGATTACTTGAGTTACCAAACCTACAATGCATGTATTCAATTTTCGTCCTACTTAACTTAAATCCCTTCATCTCGAGAGTCTGTCTCTACAGTTCTAACTTACGGTTAACTCCTTCCCTATGTTCATCAACTAAAACTATATCATCAGCAAAAATAAGTAATTTAATCTATCAATAGAGAAAAACCGTAAATGAAGGTGTCAATACACCCCGGGTAGGAGATTATAAATATAAAAAAGTTACATAAAGAGTGATAAGGTTAAGCAAATGCATACATCCAACTTGCTCAGCTTCAACCATACGAAGATCCAACGGAATCTCTTGAAATTGCGCAGCAATTTGCCGGTCTCCAAGAGATAAATTTACAGAAACATAAGCTTTAATTGTACCCTCTCCATTATTAAACCCAGTATCAACAGTCAAATGAACAGGGTTGGGAACTTCTCTAGAGTAAAATTCGTGGATCAGTTGACTGCCACTGTTAACTCCTAATCCTGTTGAGTACCTGCAACAAGCATGAAGGGCTTATTCCATTGAAACATGTTCATTAACGTGAACAATCAGCAAAACAAATTTCTAATATACGAGCATGTGGGGATCAGACTCCAAGAAAACAAGAAGTAAATTACTCAAAAAATTAAACAAATAAAAAAAAAAAAAATATATATTCACCTTCTGGTGGGACATCAACATATTGTGGTGGTACTCAATATCCACAGCAACCTGCAACCACAATAAAGGACAACAAATAATAAATAACGTAAGAAGATCTAGAAATTTTACTGATATTACTTAGGAACAATCATGACAGTCATAACAAGCATAAAAAACCACGAATTGCAAGTGCAGTGCTTCGAAAGAGATTTGAATACTTCTGTTTTGACTTGCAGAAAAGTAAACAAACAGATAAGGACGTCAAATAAAAATTCTATTACATTACAAGTTATCAAGCGTATTTCCCTATTCTGTGATTTAGTAAAATGGTTGGTCCTTGAATTTAGAATTTAGAAAGAATACAGAAAAGCAATATAGAAAAGTCTGATTTAAGAGTAAAGTATCAAATATTATATAACCACCCAGCTCCAGTGAATCTAAAATCCATTCTATTCTAAACACATTGAACATTCCAAGTCTTATTTAAACTATTGTTTCGAAACCAGGGGGAAAATAAAAGACCCTTGGAAATTTTCACTTTGCAAACCTGCCAGGTATTACTAGCTTGTAAACTTTTAAGCAGGGAATTACAGTGACTTCCAAATTAATCATAATATCAAATCGCAATTATAAACCAATTAATAAATCCTCGTTAAAATATAAAGCTACCACTTTCTCAACTCCAACAAAAACCTAAACAACACTTCTCCCATTAGTCTGCTAACACTAGGTAACACAAACGCTAGAAAGTCGAAAATCGGTGAAAATTAACAAAAGATTCCAACTTTCATTTTTTCCGTATTGAAAAGGAAAACGAAATCATTGGCTACACTAAACCGAATTGCAATACGATTAATCTGAAATAAATTTATTTAAGAAAATTATGCGAGGCTGCTCATAATAGATAACGATAGACCAATCCCACAAACCTAAAATCACTAATCCCAGCTATGGAAATTGCTCAAAACGTCTGAGAGAATCGAACGTAAACAAAAAGAGAAGCCGCAAAATTGATACAAATTACGACGGAGAGAAGAAGAAAACCTGGTCGCTGATCTCATTGTGAGGAACGGCGTAGGAGTTGCGGATATCGACGGTTCCGTCGGGGGAGATGGAGCCGAGTAGGGTTCCGATGACGCGCTCGGCCTGGTCGGGGCGTCTGACGTAGCAATCGCAGATGTTGAAGATGACGAGAGGGTGGACCTTCGCCGACAAGCTCGACGACGAAAACTGCAACACTGTGTGCTCGCTCGCCATTCTCTAGAAGCTTCCACGGATCTGACGAAGAGAGTGCGAGACGGAGCACACAAGCGGAGCGAAATCTAGGGTTTTTTGGCGAGCAGCCGAGAGAAGGAGAAGCATTGATTTTATTTGATTCGTTCTAATTGGGCCTCTCTTGTCCGAATGTGTTATAATGGGCTTACATCGGCCCAAAATTGATAGCCTCGAAGGGGCGCTTAATATGCAGTAATCTTAAGAATGAGAATAGAAATCTGCAATATTATTATGTTTGGTATAAGAATTATAATTTTTAGATTCTCAAGAAAGTGATTACCATAGGATTTACTTTCTCTCATTTTAAGATAATTTGAATACCATCTAACAAAGTGTTATTCAAATTCTCATAAATCTCAAAATCATGAAAATATTATTATTATTATAATATTATTATAATATTATTATATTTTTTTATTTTCAATAATAATAATATATAATAATAATATTATTATTATTTTAATAATAATATTATTATTATTATTATTATTATTATTATTATTATGGATCTTCTTCCATGCGAACAACCAAACACAGTAATATAATATTCTTGGGAATTTGAAAAAGATTCATGTATGGAACCAAACACAGTAACGTATTATTCATAGGAATCATATTACCCTCCATCACTTTCCTGAGAATATGATTCCCACTGATTTCCGCATACTAAACGCCCCCAATAGGCATTTGTTAGGTATCCCGGCCCATATAGCAAAATTTAAATAATAAAGTTGAAAAACAACACTAAGTTTGAAAATTTTTTAAGAGCATTTTTGAAAAATTTTACAAATATCAAAATTTGACATCACTAAAATAAGGATTGATTTTAAAAATTCTCCTGAATTATGACCGTTGTAACACTTTGCCCCCTGAATTTTAAAAAAATAACATTCGTTCCCCCTGAATTTTGTTATGTCTGTTACAATGAGTGACGAAATTATCACGTGTCACTTATTTAGTGAGAATTGAAAGCGCAATTACGCTTATACCCTCCTAATCAGATAATTCTCCATTTTCATTGAAAAAATTCACCATTTTCGTTCCCATTTTGTTTCCTTTTTTTCCCCCACCTCGTTCATCCATGGCAAGTTCCATCATATCCACCTTCTCCTCCTCCTCTTCCAGGCTAAAACGATTTCAATGGATACTTGAACGAGAATCTCAAAAACGGCGTCGTCATCGTTGCCGTTGATTTCCCCACCACGAGGCCTCCTTCGGCCACCGAGATCGGCGGCGATATTGCATGAATCCCTATTTTCAGATACAAACTATCCATTGCTTCTTGTAATACTCGTGTTTATGAAATTCCTCTGTTTTGTTTAGGATTTATTTGTTTCTTACTATTTACGAAGCAAAGAAATGCGGAAGATTGTAGTTGTATCAGTGTCAGACAAGTCTAACACAACCAAAAGACAAAAATGAGAGAGAGAGAGAAAGGGAGAGATAACTGATTATTTGTTGGAAATAGTGTCCCAGAAGCATGAGATGTAATATGATATTTATTATTTAATTAATAAAAGAGTTTATTCATTATTTTATGTGCATATCTATATGAATATTTTATGAATATCAAATGAAAATTCTGTGATCATTTATGTAACCTTAAACATTATATATAAGTGTTATATATGAGAGGATAATGTTTAAGGATAATAATAAAAAATGTTGTTCATAATGAATTTAATTAAAGTTCAGAATCTTTAATTAAAACATTATTAATATATGTCATTCACATTTAGGATGGAACGGTGCTATCCGCACTGTAAATATGGTGAGATATTGAATGAGTGTATTTCGCATAATGGGATAGTGTGGAACAGGGACACTGACACAATATGAATTTCTAATAATTTCTGTTAAGCATAGAAATTCTAATTTAGTCTACCGATGGTCATATATAGAATGATCTTAATCCTGAGTTCTTAACAAACTCCTATTTATGGATTTATGTCTTTTGATTTACTCGGTACGGATTCCGAGACCCTGAAGCCTATTCTTTGTATTTTAGAGACATGATGAAATAGGTAGCCGGGAATGTTATTATACGAGATGGAATCCATTCCTTTTTGAGAAAGAAGTAGATAAATAATTCTCTTGAGTATTGATTCGGTACTTGGATTAGTAAGAGCGCTATGGTTCATGAATGTGTTTTATGAATCACTATCCACTAGAGAATCAATGGTACTTAAGGATGAAGATATAATTAGAGAGGTTAACGGATTCTACCTGACTTTAATTATGAATTATTTATGGAGGGTTGATCTAAATGCAATGACTATATCAAATGGACACTTCACAGTTTAGAAGTAATTAATATCTATAATTTCGAGAGTTCAATTCTAAGTTTACAGTGGAGTAACTATTGGAATTGATAGAATTAATTAATTAATTAAAGTGTTTAATTGATTATTAATTTTATTGGAGCTCGGGATTATAGGTCCATTAGTCCCCGCGTCGTCCTAGTAATTCTGCCAGACACAGAGGGCAAAATGGGAATTTTAGAATTACGAAATTCTAAAATTAAATACT